GCCTTCAATATGGATTGAGGCTCAATGTCAAGAAGACAAAAATATTTATGACTGGGCCAATTGCCAGTATCAGGATGGATGGTGAAGAGATTGAGATTGTTCACAGCTTTAGTCTTCTTGGCTCCACAGTCAACACTCTTGGCACCAGCATCCAGGAAATTAAAAGACGTATTGCAGTGGGAAAGTCTACTGTTAGGGACCTCTCCACAGTACTGAAGAGCAATGGTATCACTCTGGAGACTAAGGTGCACCTGAGACTGGCCATGGTCTTTGCAATCACTTGCTCTGCAGTAGAGAGCTGGACAGTGACTAGGGAGGAGAGAAGGAGAATTGATGCATTTGAACTGTGGTGCTGGAGAAGTGTATTGAATGTACCATGGACTGCTACGAAAACAAACATGTTCATCCTGGACAGGGTTAAACTGGGCTGCTCCTTGGAGGCAAAGATTCTGAGGCTTTGTCTGACATACTTTGGACATGTTGCAAGGAGGGCCCAGTCCTTGGAGAAGGACATCATGCTTGGGAGGTTGGAAGGACCGCTCAGGAGGGGAAGACCCTCTGTGAGGTGGATTGATTCAGTAACTGGTGTAATCGGGGTGGGTGTGTCGGAGACAGTAAGATAGTGTGATTGGCACAGGACAGAGCAGCATTTAGGGCTTTTGTACATAGGGTCACAATGAGTCACAAGGGGCTCAATGACACACATAAAAACAACATTGTAAGTCCAATAGTACAGGTATGTAAATTTCTTTAATCTCTTCTGCTATAATCTAACATTGTGAAGGAATAAATCTCTGGTTATAGGACCTCAAGATCATTTTCAGGAGCTATTGAAGCCAATTAGCTTAACAGAGTACACAGTCATTTTCCAAGTCTCTCTTAGGAAGTGCTCTCTCTCTGCCTCAAACAAAAAAAGCATGGAGAAAATTTAAGACATAATTACACAATTAATCCAAAGAACAAATGGAACAATAGAACCTGCATGGTCCCGAGGCCAAGAAAACACTGATGCCCTCTCCGAAAAAGATCATAGTAGTGGGACTTAAATACAGTGAGAGAAAAGTATGGAATTGATAGAATTTATTCACATGTCCCAGCTTGCTGGGCAAAAAT